TGGTTGTTTAAGCTCATTTAATACAATATAAACTAAATTATTTTATTTTCATTAATTCTGTTGAAAAATTTCAGAATTCTCAACATCAAAAATGCTATTAACTGTAATGTATTTATGTCATGACATATAGCATAACCTGGAACAGACTTATCCAGATAAAATAATTTATTCATAAATTTTATCTGTATAATCTCCAATTGCTTTTTCCAATCAAAACCTCAGATTGGGAGTGAATAACAAATAGAGTTCATAATTATTGAGGAAAATGACTTTGAATCCTATTGCTTTTTATTTTGCTCATTAATTAGATCAAATTATATATAATTTTCTCAACTTTGTTTTTTAAATATAAAAAATGATTTTTAAATAATAGAATTTACTATAAATACAAATTTTATCAATGACATTATTTTTTCCTTTCAATTATTTGCAGATTTTATTTATTTGAATTGTGTATTTATGTACTTAACAGTAGTTTTAATTTTTATTTGACTTGAAAATTCATTGTCTCATAAATTAGTTTATTTTTTTAAAAGTTTATGAAGTTTATTACATAAATTTTTCTTTTATTGTACTTCAATTATTAGAAAGTAACATATATGTAAAATTTTTAATTTTTTCTTTAAAAAATTTTATACTGTGATTTAATTTTTAGTGATGATTTTTTTAATATTTAATAGAATAATAAATTTCATTATTGATATAAATTAAATAGTATTATTATAGTTGTAAAATTTATGAAAATTAAACATTTATGTTACTTTGTAATAATTGAAGTACAATAAAAGAAAAATTTATTTAATAAAATTTATAAAATATAAAAATACAATCACAGGATATTTAACTTTTCTCAATGTCAGACAGATATGTAAATAATTACTGTTGTGATACACTTTTACACCAGATAACAACACAGAATGCCTTAAAATGCTACTACAATATAGTGTTAAAAACCTCACAGAGGTCATTGTGTTCAAGATTTTTAGTTTACTTGCCTCCCAATACCAACCATGCCTGTATGACAAAAGTCAAAGACATGCACAGCTGACATAGTTGGAGAAAGACTGAATCATTGAACTAAGGAGAAAACAGGATGGTTGTTTTTCAAATTGTCTGCCATCTGGGCTATTCTGACCTGACTTTCAGCAGGTATTGGCAATTGTGAATATATCAGGACCCAACTGTAGGCATAGTCTGGACCACCAGAAAATATGAATGATTGACCTGAAAAGATGATCATTTGAATGTGAGACAAGCATGAACAGTTGCAGTGGAATCTTAGTTCATCATTCAGAGACAGGTGGGAGTCTCACTGCAGAATTCTTTTCTTTTAGTGCCATTGGCAGGTAGCTAACAGAGACAAATTTGTATTCATGGTAATTATTATGTGTTTTGCCACTAGCTCTCCAACATCATCAACTTTGTTTTGCAGTGATGTTATGACAGACAAGCACGGAGTACTGAAACTGGAAGCATGGTGATTTTGGTGACAAATTTTGGTTCTGTTTGGGAATGGATGACCACTCTGTTTGTGTGGTGGATCACTAATGAGCATTTCAATTCTGTCTTTACTGTTGAATGGCATATTGTTGTCACTGCAGGCATACTGTCCTAGGAAGCCGTCTCATATGATAATCCCTAATAATGGTACGTTGACAGCACGGTGGTGTGTTTAGTAAACCCTGCATCCTCATGTGTTACCTTTAATGGCAGGGCTACAAACACCATTTTTCAATAAGATAATGTTTAGCCGCATACAGCTAAGGTTTTCCAGGAACATCTGTCATGCTGTCACACTTCTTTCATCTGATGGACTGCAGATTTGATACCAATCAAGCATTTGTGGAACTAAACAAGATGTCAGATTCAGTCATCCATGAGTGTGAGGGATGTGGAGTGACAGTTTTGCAACTGTCACTCCACATCCTTCACACTCATGGATGACTGAATAAAAGTTGTTAGTTATAAAAGATATTTTTCTTTCAAATGTAAGGCATTATAATACAGTGTTAATATATAATAAAAAGATATGATAAAAAATACGTTATATTTTAAATATATCATTTTACATAAAATATATTTTTCAAAATTTGATGTTTTAAATTAATGATACCTATATTAATTACATTAAATAATAGCTAATGCTGCATATACTCCATTTTAGATAGTATATGTATCCAGGGCATTGAGAGCTTCTTTGGGGCCTGGAGTACAGCAGGTTTCTTCAGTCTTGTTTTCTGAATAAATGAAATATGTAGAATGTTTCTTTATTAATAAAAAGAAATCGTACAGATTTTATTTGTTGTTGGTAATAATAATGTTAATTTTATAAGTGTAGAAATCAATGGAACCCTAAATAATTTTCTCTGTACCCAGAGTAAAATTCCCATCTCCCTTCCTGACAGCTCTATAAGTATTAGTTATGAATGAAAATTTCATTTGTAAATAGCACAAGTGTAAAATAAATTGCAGTTTATTGATATATAATTGGTTAATATTATATCATGATTCATTATACAATTTAATATACAATATTTTATTGTATATTCTAACATTCATTATTATCTTCTTGCATATCACCATAAATAAAAGATACTGTTTATGTTTATAGACTTTTTAGTAATGAATGATTTTGAGTAGTGTGTGAGAGATAGATAGATATTTTGGAAATTTTTTTCATAGATTATAAAATTGCAATAATACTTCCATTAGCACAGTTTAAAATTATGAATAATAAATTATTTAATAAAGTTGAAATGCAAGTATTAGTTAATGATCCATGAAGAAAGTAAGTGTTTTATTACTAAAATAATAATGATTTTAGAGATAAAGCTCATAAATGTAAAGTATTTTAGTAGTCTGATTGAATAGTTGAACTACATTAACTTAAATATATTTTAGGGAATATTTAAGATAATTTTCAAATTGTAACTTTAAAACTTTTTAGGATTAATGCATTAAGTATAGTTAGTAAAGCATGAATAATTATATCAATTAACATAAAATTTTTTAGTTTATTGATTCACATTTTATAAAATGATGAATAGAATACAGTTTTTAATGTGAAAATGGTTTAATAATTATTTTATTTTTTTTAATTTTTAGAATAAATTGAAAATGTAGGAGATAACAAATTTATAAAATTATGAAAAATCAATGCTGCAAATAACAATAATAAAGGAATAAACTAAAATTTTTAAAATTAATTATTTTTAGTAAAGTCACATTATTAAAATAAGACTGATTATCTACTTGTTTATTTAAATTATAAAATAAATGTACAAAATTTATCAAATAATAAATTTAGCAGAAAATCAATATTAATTTGAAAATGAAAAGATAATCCAATTGAGTAGATAATGAGTCTTTTGATTAAAATGCAAAATTGATTCATGTGAATTGTCTGTAATCCATTGTCTGAATTTTCAGATATTATATTTCTTCAGAAATAAACATTAATATTTAATTCTATATTAATTATAAGACAAAATTAAATTTCTGTACAGTCTGTTATTTAATTTTATAATAAATTTAAACAATTCATTTTGTTTCCTATAAATATCTCACAGAAATATATATATTATACCATTTTAAGTATATAATATTTTTATCTTATGTGCTTGTTAAATAATTTAATAAATGAATAAAAGTATAGCCTTCACAAATCATTAAAGATTATAAAGAAAATGTAAATGCTAGATATTAATGAATGATTAATTTAAAGAAGTTATTAAGTTCAATCTTTTTGAGAAGGGATGATGAAAAATTAAATTGGCTCCAGGAAATTCTTGTCTTTGCCAGATTTTCTTCATTTGTATAGACCTAAAAAGTGATTGAGAATTATAATAAAGTTTTAATTTTAAAAAACAATTTTTTAAATCATTTTGCTTAGGTTCATTTTAAAATTTTTCATAATTTTATATTCTAAATAAAATTAAAATATAAACTTTTAAAAAACATTACATATATTTTCTTATTTTTTAAAATTTTAAATTTGAAAATGTTTTAAGATTATTTGATTTGAAATTTTGGTTTAAAGAAAGTGGAAGTTTTGAAGTTTTTAGAATAAAGAAATCTCTTTATTCTAAAAGCTTGTCTGATTATATTTTTTTCTTGAATAACACGAAAGAAATAGTTATAGATATGTAAGATAATTATTTGATATTGTTGTTATGGAATATATATATGAGAATTTTGAATACTGATAAGCAAAGATTTGAAAATTGTTCCTTTTTATAAAATGTAAATTATTTCAACCCTATAACCTAATGCTCTAGGCTATTTAGGTAGACATGCTACTTGATGGCAGATGTAATCTAATTTTTCAATAGCAGGTGATATTTACTTTTTAATATTAGTATTATTTTTAAAAAGAGAAAGTAATTAAGTACTAAAAATTTAAATTTATATGTAGAAATTAATGAAAATAAATATTATACATCATTTCATATTTTGTATAATAAATATAAAATATAAAATGTAAGATTACTTACTATATAATTTTTCATTTTAGATAAATTTGTAATTTAAATTTTAATAGAAATTTCTGCATTTTATTGTGAATTAATCTTGTAAATTAATAATTAAATAATTGCATGAAAAGATGCATTTTTATATAACAAAGTGTTTAAAAAATTTTCAGTATTATTGTTTTATATTGTTGTTCATTTTATACTTAACTTATAATGTTTAAATTATATTTTCTATGTTTTGAACGATATGCAATTATGTTTTAAACTATCTAAAACAAATTGCTTACTAAACAAAACTATGAACAAAAACAATAACTGTATATAATATTGAATTTCTGTTTAATATTTTAAAGTTTTAATCATTTAATTAGCTTGTATCTAAATTTAAAGCATTTACAAATTGTAAAAATCAAGAATTTATTTTATTCTTAACCTAAAAAAATTTTTAGAAACAAGTTTCTTATTTCTTGTTTGGTTTAATATTTCTATTCAAACTGGTATTTTTAATTAGATTTTTATAAAGATTAAATGTCTTTTATTACCATAAAATTTAGCAAGTTTAAAGATTTTACTATTTACAGCTACTACATCACTATATTCAGATTTAATTTATCATTATTCTTTAGGATATCTTAGCCAAGTTTTGAGTGCTAGATTTTGGATGTTTTTTTTTTATAATTAAATGTAAGAATAAAAATTTGGAACAGAATATAAGTAACATTGATTTGTTCAGCCATTTTCTGATTAACATATTATCAACTGAGTAATAAAGTATTTTTATTGTTTCTTTTAAAAATAACTGCACTTGTTATGATGATTTAAAGCTTAATATAATGTTATATTTCTGTAATAAATTTAATATTATATACAATATTATTGTATATAGTAAATGATTCAAATTATTTTTATTAACATTCTATTATCTGTTGAATTGTACATTAAATTTAAATCAATAAAATATTTAAGTGTAAAATATAGGGTTAGTTTAAATTTTTGTTGGGGTTTTTATGTCCCATAATTTTCCAACTGGAAACAACAAAATAAAATTATGTACAGATTATGAAAGTTAGCTCAAAAATTTTTATTTGGCAATGCTGCACTTGCCTCATGTCTGGAAGGTATGAGATCATACTTTAAAATAGCAATTTTTCAATAGAAAGTAATGTTCAATTTGTTTTTTTAAACAAAGTCAGTATCACAATGCACTGTCCAGTTACAGTACTCAGTATGAAAAAATCCTTTAAATAATGCCATCTGACCATTGCTTGAAACAATTTCAAGAGTGTTCAGTGAAGTGAAGATTAGTGTTCAGCACCAAAAAGTAGCAGGAGGATCAAGCATTTTGCAGGAAGATGGTAATTGAATCTAGAAAGCATTTTCTCAAAACTCACAAACATCAACTAACTTCTTTGAAGTTAGGTATACCGCAAACAATTTAGAGAGTTGTTCATTCAAAATAATTTCTTGACAAGCACTTTCCTTGGTTTTGGGTTAGCTGTGGTAAACTGATTTCATGCCTCTGTGCTCGCTTGATTTCTTCCTGTGGTGATACATGAAGGATTGTTTACAAGATACCTGTGACTTTGTTGATGAAATGACGCTCAGAATTGTTGCTGTGATGGGTACAGTGATATCACAAATGCTAGAGAACACTTGGAGGGAAATGAATTATTGCTTAGAAATAATACATGCTATGAAAGACACACATATTGATGATCAACTTTCTGCAAAAGGTCTATTGATTCTGTATATAATAATACATTTTGAATTATAAGCAATTATATTTTGTTTCCAGAAACCCAAATAATAATTTAGAATTTCCTTGTATAATAAATATATGGATAAACTATATATTTTTAATGTATATATATTTATTTATATTTAAAAAAACAAATGTATAATAATACAGATTTATATTATCTATTCAATATATTTGTTAGATATAAAGTTTGTTAATATAAATAATAATAACTTTAAAATAAACATATAAAAATGGTTGAATCTAAAATGATTAAATAAACATTACATATATTTCCACAGGAATTCAGAGAAAAGGAAAGAAAAATCAAGAGATGCAGCTCGTTGTCGTCGTGGAAAAGAAACGGAAATATTTTTCCAGTTAGCCGACCAGCTTCCTCTGCCTCGCGATATATCTAGCCAATTAGACAAAGCTTCTATTATGAGACTTGCTATTGGTTATCTGAAGATATGGCATTTACTTGACCCTTCTAGATCTAGTAAGAACATCATTTATACTTTATTCTTAATATGGAACATTAGATATCAAAAAATGATATGCTTTATAATTTCCTGTACTAAATCATATAATCTAAACTTAATTTATAATATATATTCTTTTGAATTCGGTCTCCAATAAATTATTTTTTAGAATAAAAATAAATTATAAAGAGAATTCTTTTAATTGTATATAAATATGTGTATTTGTTGTATCTTTTTAATTTTTAAATTAATTATTCTTTAAAACTATAAAATTAAAATAAATTTACTTAATAACATGTCATTCTGTTTTACAAAGGCACGACAGCTAAGAAGTCTGTATCTCCCCTTGATTGTTACTTTGCAAAAGCACTTGAGGGATTTCTTATCGTTTTATCAGAAGAAGGAGATATGGTTTATCTATCTGAAAGTGTTAATCATTATTTAGGATTGACTCAAGTTAGTTATTTTCTAATTTATCTTTAAAAATTAAGTAATATTTTTTAATTTAAATGTTTTGAAAGTACTTAAAATTTATTGATTACTTTTTTTAACTTTAAAAATACTAGAATTTGATTTTACAAATCTTTGATTAATTTAGATTATTAAAGATTATATAAAANATAAATACTATATTATTTTTCTATAATTTTCAAACAGTTTTTAAATTATATATATATTTTTTAATATAAAATATTTGATGTTATATTATTGAATATAATTCTGAAGCCTAATTAATATAAATGAATACATAATTTTACATCATTTGTTGCAGATTGATCTCATGGGACATAGTATTTTTGATTTTACTCATCCATGTGACCATGACGAAATTAGAGAAATGCTATGCATTAAATCTGATGCAGAACAAAAGCTGCCTATTCCTCGGTCATTCTTTGTTAGGATGAAATGTACACTTACAAATAAAGGACGGAATGTCAATCTCAAATCAGCTACATACAAAGTAAGCATTAATTATATTCAAGTAGAGCAATTAAACAATGGAATAATTCTTATTTCATTTAAATTATAAAATTTAATTTTGTAGAATGAAGTTAAGCTTTGATATTCATATCAAAAAATAAACATCATGATAACATGTTTATTTTTAAATGACACATAGGTCAAAATTTGACTGATACACATGCTATTTTATCTGAATGTGTTTATTTTATTCTAAGAGTTATAATACAATGTTTATTCTAATTTTTGATCATTAGTTTTAAGTGGCAAAAGACCTTGGAAACATAATTTCTCAATACTTTAAGAAATCTTTCAATAGTTCAGGTTTTTAAGTGTTTCCTTTCATGAAGATACTTGAGATTACAGAAGTCTGAAGCACACACATTTGTTTTACTTTTTAGCATGCTAAAATCAATGAATATAATTTATTCAGCAAAGTCTTATTCTTTATTTAAATGTACAGTCTAGCTTAGATTGTATTAATTTTAATAATTTAACATGTTTACTGTTATAATATATTTAATGTAATAAATAAAAATGTTTATAATATAATTCAACTGAATTATTCTAGGTCATACATTGTACTGGTCATGTAGTGGGCAATAATGTTCCAGTTCAAGCAGAAGAAAAGAAAATTCAAGATAATAATAATTTAACATATAATTTGGTAACTATTGGAGAGCCCATACCACATCCTTCAAACATTGAAGTGCCTTTGGATAGACAAACTTTTCTAAGTCGACATAATTTAGATATGAAATTCACTTATGTAGATGAAAGGTTTGTTAACTTAATTAATAATTTTTTATTCATTGTTAATTTGTTTTAAAAAAATAAATAGTAAATAAAATTATATTTTTGCGTAATATATGCAAATTAGGTCATTATTTTTAATACTGTATTAAAATCAAACCAGGTTCACATAGTTAAATAAAAACCTAATTTATTTATTCATTTAACTTAATAGTTAAAACAAAATGTTGATCCAATTTTTTTGCTAAATATTTAAAAGTGTAATTAAAGTTTTTTGCAATGCTTCTGTCAATATGAATCCTTCACATTTCACATGATTAGCTTGGTTCTCTTTGTAGCTAGTATCTATTTTCAAAAGGCAGACATTATTTTCTGTAGTCTTCATTATTCTATCATTTCATTTAATAGTGTTTGGATAATATTTCAGACATGTCTTTTTTAAAATACAAGACAGACAATTTTCATTTATATTGAACCAGTCATGCTTAAATTTAGGTCAATGACCTATAGTTCCTTGACATGTCTGATTGTTACTCAAATTTGATTTCTATTATTTTAATAAAGTAAAACTGATTTATAAATTATTATATTTTGTTGCATATATATTAATTTTTATAAATTTAAATTAATTGAATTATAAATTCTTTATTAAAAATATGAAAAATTAGTATCTCATTCAATATTTGAAAGTTCAATTAAAAAATAAATCTTTAATTGGGTTAGTTACTGTAAGGTATTTTTATTTTTCCTGTTATCTTTCTTTGATATTTTAAAGTATACTGAGATATGATTTATTAATTTGATAAACATGTAAATGTGTAAAAGAAATTTGATTTATATTTTATTCAAAATAATTTAAATATTGTAGATTTTTCTTTATGTATTTNTTGAATATAAAAATGAAATATAACTCTAGTTTTATTTTATTTTACAGAATATCAAATTTTCTTGGATACAACAAAGATGAATTACTTGGGAAGTCGGTATATTCTTATTATCATGCATTAGATATAGCAGTTTTGGAAAAGAATTACAAAATACGTGAGTAAATTAATTTAATATTTGATTCTGAATACAAATCATTTATAAAAATTACAATATTCTTATATACAGAAATTCACTTTCTTTACATACAAATTTATTAAAACTTCATTTTAATTAAGTGCTAATATATTTCATTAAAGATTTTTAAATTATTCAGTTAATAACAATAAATAATATGATTACCATATAATGATATTATTGGATACAGAAAAATGTAAAAAATAAAATGGAAAGTTATTTATACATACAACTATAGTATCAAGTTATAAACTATATTATATATTTATAAAATATGGAATAACAATAAGTAGCAGCAATATACTAAAAAATGTATTTTTGTGATTTCTGTTAACTAAATTGTCATTAAACATATCATTTACTTACATAGTATTAAAATCTTACATATCTGTATATTTACATAGAAATCTAGACGTAGAAAACATAAAAGGTGTACTGGAAAATCTTTCGAATTTATAAATAGGTTATTAGTAATTTACTTAAATTATATTTATAATTCAGAATTTTGAAATTTATGTTGAATTACAATTTATTTTATTACACAAAATGATTAAAACTTGATTCTTAATCTTTTCTGTAACTGCACTATCACAATAACAAACATGTAACCATTAAATATTCATATAAGACTGTAGGTTCTTACTCATATAATTTGTATTTAATGCTTATGTGTTTGTTATTGTGACAGATTAAAACTTAAGAAACAAAAAATTATTTCAGAAATAAATAAAATTTTATTAATTTGATACTGTTTATATATACTTAGCATACAAAAATAATTATGTATTTGTTAAGAACACTCTCTCAATAAATATAATAATTTATATATACAGTGGGTGATCGGTTAAGGAACATAATCCATTTCAAGACTTTGTTCGCTATCTGAATTGTTCATTAACTGATTATTGATTTACCACAGGTTTTAATGGGAATTTAATTAATTCATTCTGGAGACGCCCAAAAATAAAAAAATATATCCTTTCTTACTACGTTTATTTATATGTAATAATAAAAACACATACATACAGTCTTGCATTTTTATTAGTAATTTTTTTTCCGTTTGAAAAGGTTAAAGAATCTGTCTAATATTGATTGCTTTTCTCTCTTCTTCAGGATTTTTCATAAGTAATTAATAGCATTGCAATTGTAGAAATCTCCAAGCCTCAACCTGTTTCGATTCCATTCTAAGACTGTTGTTCTGACATCCTCCCACTTCTTCAAAAGATCTTTAATAAGATATCAACATTAATCCTCTTTTTTAGAAATAAACATATTTCACCGAGTTTCTTGGTATTCTTCATTCAAGAGTTCTTGGCGTTCTTCTGTCGTCAGATCCGTTTCAGGTTCCATTATGAACTCTTCGATGTTCTTTATTTTTCAGATGTGATTTTTGTTACTCCTTTAGCTGCTTGAGTCTTCTTTGATTATACAGTAGTTTTCTTAAATAAGATTGAACTGTGTCCTACTGTAGACCTGTTCATGCTATACTGCCCAGCAACATTAGGCATCTTCTGCCCACTCTCTACCTTTGCTATTATACTCTCACCTTTCAAAAAGAAAAGCAGATGCAAAACTTAACGAGTGCCTACCCGACAGTCTCGCGAATACATAAAAGAATTGTTTTGTCAGAAAAATAAAAGGCTGGAATTACAAGGGAGAGTTTCAAAGTTTGGAGAAATATTATCCAATTGGTATATACTGGCTTGAACGTTGATGTCGACGTCTCCCACATTCCGAAAAGTTTCGAATTGTTGCCCGAAGACAAGGGAAGACCAATCAGTATTCGTTATTTTACATCGCTTCTTCTTGTGTTTGTTCTGTGGGGTGTTCGTTGTCCAAACATAAAAATCTTTCGCGAAAGTGTTCGTTATCTGATCTGTTTGTTAACTGATCACCCACCATATTTAGATTATTAACAAAGTATATATGCTAAAATAAGAACAGTTATTTTAAAAATAGTTTTAACATTTGTTCATTTACTGTTCAAAAGTAATATCTATCTTTCTTAATTTTATGGAATTGTGATTACCAGCAATTCTACAGATGAGTTTTGTCAGTAATTAATTATTATATTAGATACAATATTATAATGACAGAAAATATTATTGGAATAAAATAGTAATTATGAGAACATATGAAAATGATGAAAGAAATAAATTTTGAAATAACTATTGATATTGAGTTTTTAATTTTACTAAACTGCTTGATATGAAAATAAAGCTTTTTAAAAGTTAAAGTATAAAATAGTTTATAGCTGAATATTTTACTGTTTTATATAATTATTTTGGCTATCTTATTTTATAAATAGCATTCTTTTAAATATATAATTAAAATAAATGATGTTCTAGTAACTTATTATTTTAAAAACATTTAAATTAAAATTAATGATCATTCTGTAATGCTACTTTCTAAAAAATAGGGTTCATATTGAAATTTCTAAAAACTTTTATATGTTTATCCAATTTTTTAATAATTATTTTATTTGGTTTAGATTATTCTTGCATATTAAACTATTAATCAAAACTATTTTATTCCTAATTTTATTTATTTATATTTACATACTATTTTTACAGAATTACTGTTAAGTTTACAAATTACATTTTAATTATATTTTTATTGTCAAAATTTTTTCAATTATATTTTTACTAACATTTTACAAATTTAAATTATTTAAGATTCATCTAAATCCTTAATATTAAATATAAATTTTAATAAGTTTTTAAAAATTGTTAAAATATAATCGAATTTTAAGAATTTATTATAAGTTAACTGTCATTATATTTATATTTAATGAAATATACTAACAGAAGTATTAATTTTTATTAATAATTTTTCACTATTTTTTCCAGATTATTTTTCATGTAATATCTGTTTAATTATAATAATAATGTGTGCTTCATTTTTAAAAAAATTACTTTTTTATTTATCTGATTAATTATTTTCTATTTAGCCACATTAAAAATACTTATGTAATATTTTTTAAATATAAAAAAACTATAATCAAATTTGACATAACATATTTCTTCACTGCTTATCACAATTCTATTCTGTACTTGTTTTGAAGACAGAATAAAATATTGAAAAATTCCAAAAGCTTTTAATTTGAAATTCTTTTAAAATTTATAAAGATTTGTTGTTAAATCAATAACTTATCTAAAAATTATATTTCTATAAAATTTTATTTTTTTTACAAAGAAATTTTAAGTAGCTAAAAATATACAGAAGCTGGAACTTTCATAAGCTATTAACATTTCTGGAACTTTTAAAATATAATGCTGATCAAGCAAACAATAAATAAATTTAAATTTTAGTGCATTCTTAACAATGAATTTTTTTTTTTTTAGAAATCTATAAAATTTCAAACATTTAAAAATTTTTAAAAAGCAAATTCTAGTGTATTTTGAATTATTAAATCCAAAATATTTCACCAACTTAGAAAAAGCTTAGTCAAATATTTCATCATTTACTGTTTTGTAATATTTTATTTAGAATAATATTGTTATGCATCATTAAATTTTAGTATATGAACTTAAACATATTTTTTATGCATACAGTTAATATAGACAATTATTTTATAATAATGACTATGCATACAGTATGAAATTTATAGAAAATATTACAATTCTAAAATTTGATAACTTTTATTAGAGAAAGCAGTCACAAAACTAATATAAAAAATTTATAATTATGACAATAATTTATATATATAAAAAGTAAATATTTAAAAGTAAAGTACTTTGTAAACATTTCCTCCATTTAATTATCATTATAGATATTTTCAGGCAAATGAAACAAGAATATTTGTTACAGAACAACATAAAGTTAGAAGCATTCAATGTTTTAAAGTTATAAATATAATCAGAGCATTTAAAATGTTTATGATATTTTATAATATTTACAATTGTTGGAATGTTTTTAGTATTTACAGAATGAATAAAATATTTACATAAGAAATAAACATAATAATGATATGTAAAAAAATTGAATGTGTGTGCTCTAAAATGAAAAGCAGATAACATGTGAATTTGATTATAGTTTATTTTTATTTTTTATGGGGATTTTTTGAAACAGAAACTTAAATAAACTTGAGGATTCAGAAACTTAATGTATTATAATATAAATAATACCATATTATCTCTCATACAAAATATTTAAGTTGTTATGCTCTATAAATATTTATAATTAAAGATAAATTTTAATTAATAATAAACTCTTCTTAATAATAATTCAGAATATTTGAAATTATTCTAATAACTTTTTAAAGCTTATTTCATCTCTAGGAGAAAAATATAAATTTGCTTTTTCCCAGTTAAATTGAAAGTTAGTTCAAGTTTTAATTTATATAGAAACTATATTATGTAGAGTTATTATATAATATAATAATTAAAATTATGTAGAATTATATGATTGTTATTTATATCTTATTTAAATTTAGTATAATTACATAATGACCTTATTTTGATACTGATAGAATATGAATAATATATTTATTTATGATGATGATATTCAAATGTTTTAGATTCCATTACTCTTAACTTTATAAATTATTCGTTTTATATTTCATATTCATATTCATAGTATTTTCATATTTATAAATTATATTAAACTTACATTATACCAATTTAATGGAAGTTATTGATTTGCATGATATAAACACAGAAAACAAACTTTAACCTTTAAAATTCTTTATAAATATATATATTTAATTTCAAAATTTTACTTTTGCAAATTAAATTGTCTATTTGTGTATTTAATATATAAATATCAATAATAGAAATTATAAATAATAAAACATATATTTTCTCAAACTAAAATTTAACTTTTTATTAATTTAAATTTTAATTCAAAAGACTTTATTTCTAAGCAGATTAAATAGTTATTTGATAATTATTTAATTTTTAAAATATTTATTGAGCTATTAACTTAAATATTGTGTTTCTAAATATTTTAGAAGTTTTATTTATCTTTGGTGCTTCTTT